ATGGTCCTATGGTCTACATCCACTTAATAACTTAAACTTTCAGATTGGACTTTTAGTTTGGTGCTAGAGCCAACTTTCAATTTTTCATGCCCCATTAAATATTTCATTTCGAGTGGGATATTTTATCTATCTTATTATTAAAGTGCATTGATCATATGGTTTTATTCGGGTTTGCACGTGAGAGGGGACATTAAAGTACGGAACATCACTTGTTTACGGAGCTTATAATAACCATCACTTTAAGTAGCAGCTGATAGCAGTCGGCAAGAATGAAATTCACACCAATAGCAGCCACTATCGGCCCTACTGTGGTGATTACACCTCCAAGAGGCTCATATGCCCGCATCCGCAATTATTACAATGCAATCTGTAACACAATTTGAAAAATTTGATAATAACCTTGTATACATGTAGTCTCCCTCGCCCCTAATACCTTAAGCCTTTGGTTGGACTTTGCCACACAAATCAAACATTAACTTCACGTTCATTCCTTCACCAGACCAAAAATTAATAAAATGTACGTTGCTTTCCCTTTTCCCATATGTCCCTCCAACAAACACAAGCAGCATATTAAGAAGTAAGATCTTCATATCGCCAGATAAATAGCACAGTACTTCTACAGAACGTGAAACAGGAGTTCTGATTATTTAATCACAATTGAAAGCGATAATAACTCCCTAAGCATTCTAATGAAGAAATTCTCCTGCTAAAAATAAGTAACTAAGCCAGCTAGTGTTACGTCAATCTACATGCTTTACGGCGGCAAAAATAGACTAGCAATCCAAATCAGTGCACACTAATGCTGTGCCAACATTTGGTTTTGTACACTGAAAATAATATGTCTGAGAAGAAGTCATAGTTCTGAAGATAACATTAGAATGGCCAGAATTTTGTACAGTTAGCCGTCACTGCCTCATTCATAAACATTTCAAGGGCGAGATCAGATATCCGATTTGAAAGAAGATCAGATTTCTTTCAGGTAAGTGTTTACTTTCCAATTTTCTCTTCATTAAGGCTGGGCCTGCAGCTTTTAACTTGTTCAATCAAATGTATCAAATGAAAGTGAAAGAAAAAGGCATGCATCATCTCAACAGAACAATGCTCTCCGCTGATTCTTACCCTTACCTTTAGTTCCTGTCGGATGATTGAAACAGATTTCATTAGGTGATGGACTCTTGAGATTCGGACAATCAATAATGCTCAATTGTTCCAAGTTTGGTGCAATGCGTAAGCCATTGGAAATGCTAATGAGTTCAGGCAATGAGAATAAGGATATTTTTTTCAACTTGGGGACGAAGTAAGTATTCTCGTAAATACAAGCATCTTCACACCTCACTAAACTTAAGATAAGGGGGCAGCCTTCAACTTTGAGCTCTTCTAAGCTATTAAGGTTTTCCAGTAGGCCAGGTGTGAATATAGTAGTCAACCGAGGACATGTGAGTAAGGCCAAGCATTTAAGATGAGACAAGCATCCTTGATGCATTGGCCCCTCATAAATGCCCCTCAAACTCTTCATATGATATACATAGAGATACTCAAGTGATCCGAGAAGCCTCTCATCATTCTCCCATGTTTCCAAGACTATTTCACTTCTATCAGCTTCATCGTACATGTCAGTTCCATCAATAATAACCTGAATCTCATTACACTCCCCAATTATGCAGCATCTCAGTTGCTCCATGTTCTCAATCCCAAAATCAGAAAGCTTAGTGACATCTGTATGGCGGTCTAAGAAAAATGCAGTAGTATGCCGAAGCATCTTCTGGATATCTCTGGGCACACCCACACCGTTTACATATTTCAGGGATCTATCCCAGTGTTCTAACTCAAACTCAAGATCCACCGGGAGACGAGACATGATGCGTTCACCGTGATCGCCAACAATGAATTTGAAATGTGACAACGATCTAGACACCTTTGATGTACCAAACCATTTGAATTTCCTCAGATAGCCCACTTGAGGAAAGTACAGTTTAAGTGTATCCAGCCTCAACAAGCCACAAACATCGTCAACAACAGCTTCCACAACACTCTCCCACCTCTCGTCCTCAGGATTTACATCAATACTTAGCTCTTCTAATTGGGATAGCGCAGAAATAGTGCCTTGAGGAATCAATGCATTTACTTTCGCAGATTTGGTGCCACGATTGACGCGTGGACAAAAAGATACTTCTAAGCAAGTGAGCTTTGTTAGCTTCGCAACCTCCTTTGGCAGATCCATGATCTCAGTCCCTTCAAGATCAAGCACCTCAAGCTGCTGAAGTTCTCCAATTTTCGGAGGTAACACCATCAATAGCTCACAATGATTTAAGAATAGTCTTTTGAGGCTGCTTAACCTGAATAGAGACTCTGGCAAGGACTTGATCCGAGTTCTGGATAAATTCAAGATTTCCAGAGCAGGCATGTAATCAAAGAAAGAGGGACTAATTGTTCTGAGCTTGTAATTTCTATTCAGAAACAAGACCAAGAGTACAGGACAAGGAGGAGGATCCTGGGGTAACTCGGTCAGCTGATTCTCCATCAAGTAAATCTCTTCGAAACTCCGCCATTGCGTGACCTCCGGAGGCTCCGTCAATCCCAAACCCCCGCGCATAAGGACCCTTCTGCTATATCCCGGTGGACTGGGTTCGATGTCGTCAGAACACATCTCAAGTTCCTCTGCCGGTTGCGGTGTACCTGAGTCAAACAGCACATGAACAATTTCAGCCAAGAACCAAACATGTATGACCGAATTCGAGGAGGAAAATGAAGGAAGTGCGAGAGATGTCGGAATCGGACGCTCGAACAGTACGGACCTGAAACCAGAGCAGGACCTGAATGGAGGGCCTGCGACGGAAGACTTGCTCTCGTCCTGCTTCCATGGCGCCTCCACTGCTCGATCGTCCCCGGCTTGCTTCTGACGTTCCCCATGATCACTCGCCAAAGAAGAAGGAAAGTGGTCAATATCACCAAATATGATGGCTGGCGGGTGCCACTTTTACTTTTTCTATTCTCTGGTGAGGAAAGCACCGTTACTGGGGAAAGAATGACGGAGCCGTTACCGTTGCATTGCTCATTTTCAAAATTTCAAAAAACAAAAGCAAGGACTCGGAGGAGGGCTGGCTCCCGCCTAGTTTTTTTTTTTTTTTTTGTGTTTTCTTGTTTTTTTTAAAAAGAAAATACCACCAAAAATCTCAAATTATGCTACCTGTGATAAATTTACCCTGAATTTTTTTTAATGACACGAAAAATCTCAAACTATATTACTTGTGACAAATTTACCTTGATTTTTTTTGTGACACGAAAAACTCCAAACTATGCCAGGCATTTTCGTTTTTGTTTTTTCTGTTTTTTTTCCTTTCTTCTCCGGCGGAGGGAAGCAGGCAAGGGTGGTCCTCGCTGGCGTTGGGTTGGGTGACCTTGCCCGACGCCGGCAAGGGCAGCCCTCACCCGCCCAAGCGAGGGCGACCCTTGCCGGCGACGGGTGAGGGCGACCCTTGCCGGTGGCAGGCGAGGGCAGCTCTCGCCCGACGCCAGCGAGAGTCGCCCTCTCCAACTGCCCTCGCCTGGGCGGGCGAGGGCCCAGGTTAGGTTACCCAACCCCAACACCGGCGAGGACTGCCCTCGCCGGCTTCCCTCCGCCGGAGAAGAAAGGAAAAAAAAACATAAAAAGGAAAAAGACGAAAATGTCCTCGGGCCAAAGTATTGTGAGGTAAATGTGTCACAAGCGGCATAATTTGGGATTTTTCGTGTCACAAAAAAAAGTTCAGAGTAAATTTGTCACAAGTGGCATAGTTTTGAGTTTTTTGTGGTATTTTCCCTTTTTTAAATTTTAGCCTTCTTCTTCTTTTTTATGGAGATAAAAAAAAAGAGAGAAGACAAGGAAAGAAAATAAAAAAAGTAAAGGAAAAAAACCCTTGACCAGCCGCAGAGGTCAATTTTTGGCAATTATTTACGTAATCAGATCACTCCACGTTTTTCTTTTAAAGTTTGTTCATTCATAGTCTAAAGGTCTCAAATAAATAAATAAACATAAAATAGAAAAAAATGGGGCCGAATCCCGGGTCTACTCTAGAACGGCCGATTTGGTACTAGGCCAATTCCAAGGTCCACCAGTTTGGTTGCTGAGCTCAAAAATTGAGAATCAGCTTTAACAAAACAAAACTTGAAACTTATCCACTCTGAAACAATTTACACCTACTATGAATAGCGAGCCGCAATAATGAATTAGAAAGATTGAGTTCTTAAAAAAGAGAAAGTAGTGACCACCTCAATAATCAATCAATATACACCATTAAATTACGTGGAACCCAAATGGGGCCTATCTCATTTAAGTATACCTATGAATTGGGCATACATGTATCCATTGTATCCAAGAATCTTTGGGTGGAATAATAGATATTGCCTGCCCTCTCCCTTTAAGACCATTCCAACAACATTTGACCATCCACTTAAACTTATAAATTTAGGATGTATTTATTTTGTGAAAAATGAATGATTTGATAAAAAAATTATTAAAAAATGATCGTTTGTATTTTTTACTAAAATTAATGAATAAAGAATATCTTCATCGCTTACAAAAATAATAAGACAATTTTTGTCAATAATAAGAGCATTTTTCATTAATTAATTACTTTAAACGATAAAAATAATTATTTTAATGTATTTTCCAAATCATCAATTGTTTCGAGAAACAAATTAAGCCTTATAATCTGTTATTTTTTTTAGCCAAAAATGAAAAAAAAAAAAAAGTTATTTCATCCCATTTGTTTTTCGGCATGAATTGCTTTATTGACTTTCTCTCACTGTGCAGAGAAGAAGAGTTTCTCCTATTAATTTGAACTTTACAAAATTAAAGAAGCAAGGAGAAAGAAAATGGACAGTATTCAAATACCTAATTAGAGTTAGACACGTGGAGGCATTGTCCCAAAACTTGCCAAATTTAAAATCATTTGCTAAGGTGCATGAGGGAATTTATGCAATTGTGTAGGTGCAATGTGGTCTTTCTGACAAGTCAACGTCAATGGACCACCACTGATTCAACCCCTCTCTCTCTCTCTCTCTCTCTCCGTCGAGCAGCTTCAACTGTTAATTGACTTTTCTAAGATGTGATTCTCATCTTGCCAATCTCAATCTCTGCAGAATCAGGTACACGAGATGCTTCTTCACTCGCTCTAATTCTAATATATGCTGCTTGTGGGAGTGTATTTTTATCTTTTCCTTTCCTATTCTTTCTTTCCTTTGTGTTTCCTAAGCCTGTTCTTGAAAAGGATCCAACCTCTACTGCAAGATTGATCCTCTGCTATGTGATGAAACGATGGTATGGTGCGATCACAAAAAATGCAACTTTTGCAGCTTGCACTGCTGCCATCTCCTAATTCCTGATGGTCTAAAATGGTCTTCTTCTGAATCAGTGGGTCTCTCGGATTGAACTCTGTGGATGTCCATGTAGAACCTAACATTTCTTCCTGTGTGTGGCTAAGACGGCAACTTCCTTTAAGCACCCGATTATAAGATAAAGCTCTTTTTTTCATTTGGTCTGCCTTTTCAAGTGCCCATTTTGTTGTGGAAAGGTAGCATTCAGATTCAGTGTGTACTTGAGCTGAACCAAGAGCTGCAAGGTTGTGGCTGCTGAGACTTCTCTTACTACTTTGACTTGCCTTTTGCTTTTATTACATTAGCATATAAGCATGTTCTAGTTTAGGTACTGATCTTTCCTAAAAACATAGGTTTGAACATATGGGTCATATTCACTAAGACTGTAATTGAGCCAAATGCAGAAGTTTTGAGTTTTTTGTTGTTGAGACATCCCTGTTGAAGTCTCTGAATCATTGCAAAAGTTACTCTCATTCCTCTTTTTTTGAGGATATTTTCCTGTACGTTCGCTCGACAAATGTAAAGTCGAATTCTGTTTTCCCTTTTGTCTATGTATACATCTCATGACTAAAATGGATGACTTGCTCTTTTCTACTCAAGTAATCTGCATTTTCTTGGAGTGCTTTTTCAAAATAATTTTGTTCTTGTGATAGTCATGGTTGAAGCAGCAGCTTCCGCCATAGCAGTCGAAGCCTACAAGGATGGACGTAGCATTTTTGGCTACATCAGTCAAAAAATTGACTACGCTGATGATTTCAAGGTCAATTTTGAGAAGATGAACGAGCAAGCAAAAATGCTTTATGCAAGAAGGGATGATGTAGAGGCAGAAATAAACAAAAACAAGATGAAGAGGGCTACCAAGGAATGTGAAGGCTGGATTAACAGGGTCAAGGCGGCCGAACAAGAAGTACTCAAATTGGAAAGCAAGTACAAGAAAGAGATCGTGCATGCTTGGAGATACGCTCGATTCTGGTCGCGTGCAAATCTCAGCAAGCATATGGCCAAGAAGCGTGAGGAATTACAAGTCCTGCTAGAAAAAGGAAAGCTTGATAATGGGGTGGTAGCTGAAAGATCCCCGGAGCCCGTGAGAGTCATAGATGCTCCTAGCACTGAGGATAAACCTTCGCTACACTGGGCTGTCGAGGAGATTTTGGGTAATCTGAGGGAGAGAAATATCAAAAGGATCGGACTCTGGGGAATGGTGGGGACTGGAAAAACTACGGTGATGCAGAATTTGAATAATTGTGAAGAGGTTAAGAAAATGTTTGATATTGTCATTTGGGTATCGGTGTCGAAGGCGTGGAGCATTGAGAAGGTGCAAGATGCAATCACACAGCGTCTGAAGCTGAAAGTGGAGGGCGGAGTCAACACGGTTGAGACTGCTCAACTTATATCAAACGAGTTGGCAGACCTGAGGTACTTACTTCTCCTTGATGAAGTTTGGGATCCTTTTGATATACATGAGATAGGTATTCCCAACAATGACAAGGACAGCAAGGTGGTATTTGCCAGTAGATTCCGTGATTTGTGCTATGACATGGATGCTGACGAGCTTGTCAATATGAAGCGTTTATCCGATACCGATGCATATAAAATGTTCGAAGAAAAAGTAGGTCGAACTATGAAAAATCCAAGCATCATACCTATAGCACAACTCGTGGTTAGAGAGTGTGCTGGTTTGCCATTGTTAATCGATAAAGTGGCCAGGGTTTTTAGAAAGAAGGACAACATTCACCTATGGAGAGATGGATTGAGGAGCTTGCAGAGATGGCCCAGTATCAATATCCAGGGCATGGATGAAGTGCTCGAATTCCTCAAGTTCTGTTACGAGGATTTAGATGGGGAGGATAAAAAGGTTTGCTTTCTTTATGGAGCATTGTTTCCTGAAGACTGTGACATATTTGTGGACTATCTGATGGAATGTTGGAAGGCAGAGGGATTTCTCCATACCATTGACGAGTTTCGAGATGCACGCGATAGAGGGCACAACATATTGCACGATCTGATTAATGTATCTTTGTTAGAAAAAAGTGCGATGAAGAGACATGTCCGAATGAACAAAGTACTTCGTAATATGGCCCTTAAAATTTCATCTCGAGTCTTAGACCATAAGTTCTTGGCAAGAACATGCGAGGGGCTAAAGGAGGGGCCAAAGGAAGAAGAATGGGCCTCTGCAAGTTGAATTTCTTTGATGGATAATGACTTGTGCAGTCTACCGGCAACACCAAATTGCACAAATCTTTCGACTTTACTTTTGCAAAGAAATTACAATTTAATGATGATCCCAGATAGCTTCTTCTTGTCTATGCAAAGACTACGAGTGTTGGACTTACACGGTACGGCCATAACATCCCTTCCACCTTCTTTGTCTTGCTTGACTGATCTTAGGGCACTCTACTTGAATTCCTGCACGCGTTTAATACAACTACCTTCAAGCTTAGAGGCACTGGTGCATCTGGAGGTGCTTGACATACGGCGCACCGGAATCATCTCTTTACCTATTCAACTTGGAAGTTTAACGCATATGAGATGTTTACGCATGTCATTGTCAAATTGTGGCGCCGGAAACCCAGTCTCCAAGGTGATTTCAAGCATTTCATTATTAGAAGAACTCATCATTGATGTAGACCCAAACACTTTGTGGTCTGATCAGGTCATGAGGACCATCACGGAGGAGGTTTCTACCTTGACACGGTTGACTTCACTGACGTTTTCCTTTCCTAAAGTGGAGTGCCTTGAAATCTTCGTCAGATCAAGCCGGCTGTGGAAGGACCTAAGCTTCACATTTCAGTTTTCAGTCGGTACTTGCAATTCGGTTAAGTATCATATTCTTGATTATTTTGAATATCAGTTGTGCAAGTGCTTGAAGTACGCAAACGATGAAGGCATACATCCTATGATCTCAGAAGTACTCACTGAAACCGAAGTATTTGAACTGATTGATCATAATAATATATTGAGCTTATCAGATTTTGGGATTGAGAATTTGAGTAAACTCAGAGCTTGTTCAGTGGAGGGTTGCAAGGATATCATATGCATTATCGACGGTACTGTAGCACCACCTCGTGCATTCGAATGGCTAGAGAGAATGGTTATAAACAATGCCCCAAGTTTGCATTGCATTTGGAACGGTCCCGTGCCTGTGGGAAGCTTAGGTCAAATGACTAATTTAACCTTGTACAATTGCCCCAAACTCAAGAAGATATTCTCAAATGGATTGATTGAACAACTATCCGAACTACAACATTTGAGTGTCGAAGAGTGCTACGAAATTGAGGAGATCATCCTTGAAAACGAGAATCCTTGCTTGGACTTGAGAACACTTCCGAGTCTTAAAAAGGTAGTACTTCATGATCTTCCGAAATTAAGGAGCATTGCGCCGGATGACTTATTGATTTGGCCTTCTCTAAAGAGAGTGGATATAGCTTCATGTCCATCCTTGTTGAAACTGCCCTTTACTGAGAAAAATGCTGTCAATCTAAGATTCATTGACGTCGAGCAATCATGGTGGTATGCATTGGTGTGGCGAGACGATGCCATCGAGCAAAGATTACGGTCTTTTTGTAACTTCATTTAATCTTTCTCTATAGCTCTTTGCTTATTGTTCATCTTGCTTGTTGTGATTGTAATTATGTATTAACATTTGCTTTCCGTTTTGTTTCCCTGCATGCACAATCCATTAAATGGCTATTGGCCGAATGAGGTGATGAAAACGATAATAAGCAGGATTCTGGTTATGTTTTCCTAAGATCCCTTGTTGCAATACTGAGCTTCTTTAGTACTGCAAATTATTGTTGCTTCTTGTCTGGAAATAGTGAATTAAATGTAGTTGTTCTCAATATCATGCGAGTTATGTATTGCAAGTTTGTTTGCTGTGCTTGTAATCTCTAGTACATAATGTAAAAGTGACCTTTGAACATTTAATAAGTTTTACTAATATCAAAGAAGAATTGTGTAGGGCGTGCATATTATGTGAATTAAGTTCATATTAGTTTGCCCAACATATTCTGTCTGTCCCTTCTTTCCTCTTCTTTTCTCATTTACCATTTCTATTCTGCCAAACGGTATTTTTAGGACTTAATTGCACTTTTTTTGTAATTTTTAGGACTTAATTGCACTCATTCTTAGTTTTTTTTTATTTCTATTATACTATATAGTTATCTTTTGTATTTTTAGTTTAAAAGTGCCAATTATGTTCTTCCATTCTTTTTGCACTCTATGGGTTAGTGTCTTATTTTATTGAAGCTACAGTGAATCGTTAGTCTACTATTATTTTATTCAGCACAATCTAATGTAATGGACTAAAGAACATCACATATTTATAATTTCAAGTATTTTTTTTAATTATTTCCTCTTTAAAAATTCTTTTTAGTCTTGATTCTCTTTCTTTAATCTTTATAATAACAATCACATCCTACATTGAAATCTTAAGCTTCAATTTTGTCTATAAACTTATGGAATTATGATGTATGATGAGATAATGTCATTTCTTTTTTAAATTTCATATCATGAGGATGAGATAAGAGATTATGCGAAGTGCGATAAACGTTGGGTTGACTTGGGATTTTGCCGAACTTTCAGTTTTGCGAAACTTTAATTGAAAGAGACATGAAGCTTTCCATTCCATTTCTCAATTGAAATGCACGGCGATGGTTACATTTTTTCTGGGAATCATTAGATGCGCTGGATGCATATCTTTCGGGCAACCAACTCGATGGGTCACTGAATTAGTTAGTGCACTTGTGGAACTTAAAATATCTATGGCTTTCTAGGAATTCTTTCTTGGGTCCAATTCCTGAAGTTATGGGAAACTTGCAAGATTTGGTAATCGCTAGGTCTTTCAAATAATCGATTGAATGGATACATTCCACTGTCATTAGGTAGTTTGTCATCTTTGACGGATCTAGAACAAATTCTCTGGGCGTGTTCCAAATTGGATGGGACCAAGTTTCCGGTCTCTACAAATTCTTGGGTGGCAAGAAAACAAGTTCACTGGCAGTGTCTCTTCGCATTGCAAATGTTGAACCTAGCCGTGAATAACCGGATTCCAAATTGTCCTGGCTATATGAAGAAGATACCAATGAAGAAGGAAGGTGATGTTCTGCATAGTCATAATGCTCGGGTTTGCGACTGGGTTGTGGGGAGTTGTTCGAGCAGGTTGGTGTTCAAGAAGTATTGGAGCTGCACGTACTTCGTGGATCGTCAAATAGACACGATACACGTGATTGTTGCGGTGGAGGGAGCCGGTTTGATGAGGAGATTGACAAGAGCGTCAAGAACTAAGAAAGGCCTGTTCACCACATCATCAATTAATCCAGTAGTTCTCCGATCTCGCGAAGTTCATGGGCATTCTAGTCCTGCAGAAGAATCATCTTTGTAGTTGGCTTGTTTCTCAGTAGCAGCCAACGTTTGTTTTCTTTAGTTTCAAGCTTGTTCGAGCAAGGCTTCTAGGGAACGCATGGGCAGTGCAAATCGTGTCATTTGGAATGTAATGTTGCTCAGCTCATTAGCAGTAGCTGTACTTCGTGTCATTACATTCGTGATGTTTCGCTTGTTAATGATGTAAAAATATACAAAATCAGACCGTGTAATCTTTCCCAAAATAGATTTCCTCCCTCAATTTTAGGACACCAGGAAAAAACATATGGTAAAAATTACCAAAAAAGTCCTAAAACCTATTGCACTTGAGCCAATTCAGTTTTAAACCTTTTAATTTGATCAATTTAATCATAAACTTTTTGACAATTTGTTAATTGAGTCATTCTTGCCACTTTTGGTCGGAAATCGCTGACGTGGACACTATGTAACAGCCTGAATTTCGATGTAATTTCGGGATCAATAAAATTGACAATATTTCGCATTTCATTTTAGTAAGTCTCGCCCAGAGCTGATCACTCTAGGGATACTAACCAATGAGGTATGGCTAATTAAGAAAATGGTATGTGGACCAGGGACCCGATCACGAATCGGATACCGATCGCGGGAAATGACGAGGGAATATTTTGGGCCAATGTGGGCCGATCTTAGGAAAAGTGACGGATTTGGTTTGGCCAAGGCCAACGATGTACAATCGGATCGCGGGTGATTCCGCAAGTCCGAGAGTACACGTGGCCAACCAGTCCCGAACTTGAGCCGAACGATCGCGACCTTTGGAACTAGCGATAATTCCTCTCATTCTCTGAGTAATCGAGACCGTCATGACTCGGATAACCCTAGGTCGATACGCGTAAACCCTAAACAGCCGCCTGTTAGTCAGAGGCTTTAAAATTTGAAATCTAGCGAGTTTTGGTCACGAAATTGGACCCGAATTTCAGTGTCGATTTTCGAAGGCTTAAAAGATTATTTTCACGATTCTGATGTCATATTACGCTGGTCACATACGTTTGGAGATAGTACGGTCGAAAAACGGGATTTCGACCCGGAAGTCAAAAATTACGGTTTTGCCCCTGTGGGCACCGAGGTTGGATTTTGAGCCCACTTGAGGTTATTTTTCGAGGCCGATGTCATTTTGGGGTGGCTACATGCATTTGGAGCGGTTATGGCCAAAAATTGGAATTTCGACAAAAATTGGAAAAATAATATTATTTTATTCCCGGAACTTCGCAGTCGATTTTCGAAGGCTTAGAAAGTGAATTTCGCGATTCCGACGCCATATTATGTTGGCCACGCACATATGGAACACGTATGTGTAAAAATTGGAATTTCGCCCCGGGACCGGAAAAATGACAGTTTTGTCCCTGGGCTAATTTTTGGTCCGAATTTTTTGGGAAATTTTTGGGATAAGTAACTGTGGTTATCAGCTGCATTATTGGACCGAAAGACCCAATTGCCCCTCAATTATTTAAGCCTATCTCTTTAGAACCGTTAGATTAGGGGCGTTTTGGTCATTCCTCGCGGATCGGCGACACGTGGCACTTGTGGGCTGATTTATTTGACCAAGTTGGACTGTTTTTCTCTCTCCTCACCCTCCCTCATGGCCAGAACAGCCCAGAACAGCAGCCCCTCTTCAGATTTCTCTCTTTCTCTCATTTTCTCTTTTGGCCAAGCTTCGCTGGAGCACGCCGCCGGCCACCGGAGCTCCGCCGCCGGCCACCGTGCCTTCCCGTCGACCACCACAGCCCCCAGCCTCAGTCTTGCCCCTGTCCGACCTCTTTCTCCCTCCCTTTCTCTCTCTTTCTCCCTCTTTTTCTCTCTTTCCGTCCGGCAAATAGGGCCGCCGAGCTTCGCCGAGCTCCGATCGCCCGTTCGGAAATCGCCACCCGGCCCGTCCGGCCAGCTCGTGCGTCGCTGTTCATCGGCGGCCGTACAGTGTCAGTACGGTCGGCACTGTAGCAGTTCGTACGCCGCTGTCCGTACGGCCCGCCGTGGCCGTCACCGCCGTCTCGCCGGCCACCGTTCCTGCCCGTCCGTACATGTCCATACCGCTGTGAACAGTACGCCGTGAACAGTACCGCGTGAACAGTACGCGCCCTGGGAATTCCGCCGCCGGTTTCACTGTTCATCAGTGATCGGCCGCCGTTCCCCGTCGCCGTGGTCCAGAAATTAAGTGAGTATATTTCCTAAACCCGGATTAGGACTGATAGTGCATTTTTCTGGACTGGCTTAGATATTATCCGTGTATTCTGGACTGGCTTAGGTAGTATCGGTATATAATCCGAACTGGATTGAGGATCAATTGGTGGTATAAATCCAAGAAAATTAGTGGGATTATTAGATATAATTATTGGGCTAATTCGGATTAGTTGGTGATTATGTGATTAGACTGCCGGGTGTGCCCGGGCTGAATGACTGGTTGATTTCTGTGCCCAATTGTTGGGAAATTGTATAATGCCATGTCGTGTGACCGAGTGGCCGACCAATGCGGAGTGTGATTGGCCAATTGATGGCATGAATTTGACTGGGTGCCTAGATTGGTTGTTGCTCATGGTGCATTATATTGCATTGCATGGTCACGCATTGTGAATGCCGAGAGTGAGGCATGTGATAAATTGTGCGAGAATGCGTGTCTGCCATGAGCGTGTGATCACTTAATTAAATTATGCCCAAATGCATTACGTGGGGCTCCGATAAAATTGGCAGTGTGTCGTGTGATCACTTAAGGCCTTCGGGTCGTGGCCTTCGGGTCGTGCCGTCCTGAGGCGTTTACGCGGGACAATGCCCGGTTTGTCCGGAAGACGGCCAACCTAATGCGTTTTACGCGGGCTCTGGTTCGTGAGGAGATTGGTGTTGCGCCTGATGCGTTTTACGCGGGCTAGAGACACCGGGCCATGAAGTGTTGTTGGCCTTCGGGTCGTGACCTTCGGGTCGATTGATAATATATAAAAATGAGCATTGTGCCAACGTGCATCGTTTGAGCTGATTCATAAGCATGGCAAATGTGTGCCAGTGTATATGGCTGAGGTGCGTGCCGGTGATTTGTGTGTGAGGCAGACACTAATGAGCATGAGCATGCGTATGGCGCACGTGTGATTGAGTATGATTGCGCCTGTGCCGTGATTATCGTGGTAATATAAAATGCCTAACCTGCAGGGTCAGCCAGGTGAGAGATCTGGGCCAGAGGGCCTAGGTCGGAGGTTATTTATGAGTGAAATCGCTGTGTGATTGTGTGTCATGGTCAGGAGATTGCATGTTAGCCTAACCTAGGTTTAGGGGGTTATACTCGCTGAGATTCGTCTCACGGTTGTGTAAACCGAAACATTTCAGACCCCCAGCCGTAGGATGCCGAGGAGAGCGCCTCTTTTTGGTATACCGCAATTCATCCAGTGGTCATCTAGTG